GATTGAGGCTAGTTTAGGGCGGGTCACTTCCTGGTCTGGTGGCCCCTTCACTTCCCTTCCGCCCCTCCTTCCCCTGGAAGTGATTCTGCTGTCACGACTCCTGGACAGAGCGGTCCCTCGGTGGTGCCCGCCTCTCCCCGGGTCCCAGGAGCTGGGCTGTCCGCAGTGACCCCCGTGGGCGCCTCCGGGCGCCGGATGTGAGCACCGTCTTCCCTGCAGACGCTCCCTGGATCGCCTGGGTCTACCCCGGGCCCCGCCGGGACTCCATCCCTTGCGTCTGATAGCCTCTTGATAATAGTTGAAAAATGGTTTTCGGTTTCTTGTTAACCGATTAAGATTCGCCAACGGGTTTTTGTGTGGGTGGTTGTGTGTGTTTTTTAACTCCAGAATGGTTTTATAGAGCACGTAAACCTCAGGGTAACGCGTTCAAGCCTGGGCAAAAGCATCGTGCCTCCTCTGATGCTCCCCTGCGATGTCTGATTACAGTGGAGTTTGTCAGTGTGTAATTTGTGTGCTGCTTCCTTCAAAAGTGTCTTAAATGCAAGAGCATATTCTGTCAGGTGGAATAACTTTTTTTTTTTCTGACAGCTGCGCATCTTTCTTAACAGCTTGTCAGGCTTTTCGGTAACTATGAGATTTTAGGGCCTGCGGAAATTAGAATTATTTCATTAGGTGACCAACTTTATATCTTTTTAACAACTTACTGTGTGTGTGTGTGTGTGTATACATACATACACACCCTACACATACGCATGTGTGTGTATATATATATATATATATACACACATTTCAGAGAGGAAAGGAGAGGGGGAGAGAGAGAAACATCAATGATGAAAGACCATCATTGATCGGTTGCCTCCCGCACGCCCCTTCAGTCTGCAAGCTCTATCCACTGAGCCAAACCCGCTAGGGCAGTTGACTCACTTTAGGACAAGAATTATGTCTTTTGTTTCCTATAGTGGCGTGCAAAATGTGCACGCTTGAGTGCTTTGTAAATGTATTTCAGCTCTTCCTCTCTCTTTTTTTTCTTTTTTTTTTCAATAAAAAGATTGGGATGGTGGAGGGGACTATTTATGCTCCAGGAGTCCTCTGCACAGAATGATTTGACACAGTATACCTACATATGGCATGCCATTTTGAAATACTGAGGAATGTGCTAAACACTCACAAGCCATTGAACAGCGCTTTAGCGTTCAATTTTCTCGTTCTTGGAAATTCCCATAAACATATAAGTTTGGGGAGGGAGGAAGCATTTTATATGAACTTGTGCTGGAGAGAAAACTGTAATAAATGCTTTTTCTAAGGCAAACAGTTATGATTCAGATGAAGTAAAATACAGTGAAAATCATAGGATAACAAAACATTTTTTAGTCCAACTGATGGGTCACTTATTTTAAGCAAAAATATTGTTACAACAAAATATCACTAAGTATTTAAATAACAATAAACAGTAAAGTTTGAAGTTTATTGTGCCCAAATAGTACTATATTTACCAGTGCTGTCAGGTTTTTGTCTTTGACACTGAGTTAGAATGCCTTTTTAATTAAATTTGGAAAATATATGTGTATTTCAAAGTGCAAATAAAAATATCTTTGAATATTGTCAGTGTTTAATAACATTCATAGTATTGATTTTATAATAATAGATCTGACCTCAATAATAGATGAGGTTCCTTTCATCTCCCAGCATACCTGATGTGTTGCTTAATTTTAATGAAGAAATAGTAAGGAAATCAAAATTAGTAAGGTAAATCTGCCAAAAAAGCTGATGAATTTCACGTTCAGTAAACAGTTTTTAAATTAACCACATTGTCTTCATTAGTGTGGATAATTAAGAATAACTGCTATAGTAAGTGTCTCAATAAATCCATATGATTTGAGATTTCTGATATTTTGTTAGATTCTTATTCACAGAGATGAAACTGATAGTATTTCTCTGTTGTGGATCTATAAGTAGAAAGGAAGGGCTTTGGCTTGTAAGATTTCTTCACTTCTCTTCAGCTTCATACCCTACTTGCCCCCTTTTCCAGGCTTCTGCATCCTTTTAACTGAATTCAAGAATTGAGAAAGTATTTTTCTAACAAGACTTGTTGATATGAATATCTTAGGATTCAGAAACATAAGTAACTCTTAAATGAGATTCTTATTCTATAAAATTTTCACAACCACAGCACTATTACAAACAAATATTTAAAAATATTTTTAGCCTTAATTTGGATTGGTTCTTCCATGAAGGAATTCTAAAGTTTCCATTTTTTTCTGTTTTTAACGGAGACCTCAACTGC